TATTCAAGGCAGTGTCTCTTTTTCTTAGAACACCAGGAAATGCAATAAGGCTCATTAATAGATACAACTGCCCTCAGGATTTCAACCCCAGTTGCCTTCTTTAAATTAAAATTCACAAAGTACACCTCTTGCTCCACTTTTTGGTTTCTAAGGAAAAAAGTATGAGCACACAATTCAAACTAAATGTCTTCCAGTGACTTATCTTGGTTATTTTTTTTTCCTGAAAAGACATGATTTGGTATAATAAACCACTAAATATTCAGCATGGACTGCTGTCGTGAGAGTGGCAGGTTCAGTTTTTGATATATGTTAATTGTGCACTTGGTGAAAAATCGGTTCTTATCCTCTCAGTTCGCATTCAACTTCCTAAGGCAATGCTAACATCTCTCATCTGACATTTCTTCCCCAGCTCTGCTGGTATTTGTGGCTTTCTATTTATTAATTTACTCTCATTTTAGTGGAACTTTCAGAGAAAACAGTTCCAAAACACATGTAGTATCCTCTAAAACCTACAGTTTGAGGTTTTATTTTCATCTCTTCCATCCTTCTCTTTATCTACTATCTTTCTCCTAACATTGTACTTAATTCTTGGCCACAGTACTAATTAGAAATAAATTTTTAAGTCACCAATGTTATTTTATTTATTTATGTATTTGGTGCAGGGATTAAAAGAATACAGCACCATGTCAGGTTTCTGCAGCTGGCTCAGGGTGTGGGGGTGGGGGATGCAGTACCAGGGATCGAACCCGATCCTTGCACTTGCCAAACTGGTGCTTAAACCCCTGAGCTATCTCTGTGTTCCCACTTATCTTATTTTAAAAAGCTCTTGCTGACTCATTCAATCTTTGTAAAGTAAATAAGGCATACGAAGCCTTTTGAAATGAAAACTAAGCTATTGTTAAACTTCAATATTTCACTTCAATGCATTTTAATTTCTTTTCTTGTGAGTCTCATTGTTCATCTCGCAGGTCATAGCAGTGTAGACCAAGTACAGGACCTTCACATTATGGATCATTATTGCGCATCTGATAGTTTAGTTTTCAAATTTTCATAATCTGCTTCTTATTGGTTACTTACATAGACTGACCCTGGGGAATGGATAAGAAGTACTGAGACCATTATCTTCTCAGAGGAGTTGTAGGATATCCTCTATGTTCTTTTCTGAAAATTTTATTTTCAGCACTGTTTGGGTAGGTAAATGGTCATTATTTTGACATGCACTTGAACAATTTCTACCAATCTATTCTCATTCTTCCCTGTCTGCAAACCATCCCGTACTTCCTCCTGACCACCAAAACAAAAGGTTGAGACCTGAAGAGTCTACTTCATTTTCCGTAAGACACCCATGGTAGTTTTCAGATACCGAAAAATAGCAAAAATAATTCTCTTTCAAACATTTGTCCCTCCTCTATGGTAGTAAGCAAGTGGCAGCAGTATATGTGACAAGAGTCAACCAGTGCAGAATGAAGGACCTTGATTTCACTTTTATAGGTCACTCTTAACTTAGACCAAATCGAACTGGGTGTTTGAAGGAGTCCACCCCAGGTAGGTTTAGGTTCATCCTGGGCAGTTGTTGATAAGCTTCTACATACCACAGCTAACTGTGGTACCTGTGTATGAGAACTTATATTCAACTTAGCAAATGTTAATCTTTTAATTTCACTTTGTCTTTTCAAACTTGAAAAATCCTGCTTGAATCCTAATTCAGATAACACTCCTCTGCCAACCAAACTTCATTAATACTAGATTATAAATTTGAATATTCTACCTTATATGTCTTCATTTGAGTCACTGATGACAGGATTTGAGTGGAAAAGGTCAAAAAGAAAGCCCTATGAATTATCCTTGGAGACCTTTTTTTCAGGTAGATGTCAATCCATCAATGAATTCTATTTGACTGCAGTTGGTCAACTGACTCCATCAGCCCAATTGTACTCTTTTTAAACTACTTTCTATTCATCGTGGGCACATAATAAAAAAGTTAGTTAAATGTTTTGATAAAATCATTTCCTGGTCTGCCAGTTCATTAAACTTTTTATAAAAGCTCATGAGAATAGTTTAGCACAATTTCTTCCTTGTGAACTCAACCTGTATATATCTGCTATTGCTGCTAATTGCTCTTAAAATATCCACTTAATAATGCATTCTAGAGATCTTTCAGTTTCTTATGTCAGGGTCAGCACATCCTCACTCTTTTCTCCTCTCTGACACTAGCCCAAAACAGTAAGGCAAATTAGTTCTAAAAACTAAAATTGTCGTTTTGTACCTGCTATTTTAGTGCTGGGGATCCAAGTCAAGGCCTTGCATATGCTGAGCAAGTGATGCACCACTGAGCTACACCCACAGCCTTGAAATTTGCTCCTTGCTGGAACTGGAATGCCTTTATAACCCTGATTCCCCAAAGTAACATTTTATTCCAAACACAGTGAAACTAAGATCAGGATGAAGAAATCACTAAGAACACCCGCTGCTCTGGGATTCTGGCCAAGAATAAAATTTGAGAAAGTAGGTGGCATGGCCTGTGAGGAAAACACCATCTTTACTTTTAACTCAAATCAGTTTCAGTATGGTTCATGGTGAGAACATCCTGTCATCTGAACAACACACAATGGCAGAGGACGTAGAGACTGGGAAATGAAGCAACGTAACCCCCAAAAGTACACACATACACACACCTGTACCACACATGAAGCACTTACCTATGAGCAAGCAAACTTCTTGCTGGGTAGATGCAGAATCATTATAGGGATCAGGGCTCGGAACAGTTTATACAGACAAAGTGAGGACCAAATTATGAACTCTCTACTTCTCACCAGTATGTCACTCAGTCTCTGCCACACCTTCAAACAATGTTTCCACACAGAATGGGGCTCATGAACAACTCCGAATGTAACTTCAAGTAGTAACTGAAGACAGACTATGGGACGCTAATGCAAAATAGGTACAAATGGAGGAAAATGGCCAACAAAGGATTATGGGAGACAACACAAAACAAGCAAGGGATGTATGAAAATGAAGTCATGAACGGCAAAATAAATAAGACAAAATAATTGCATCATATACATTAAGAGGGATAAACATGGTTGAAAATAGAAGATATGCTTAAATTTGGGAGGAAATTAAGTATAAAATAAAGAAGTAAATTTTACCAGAGAAGATATGGTAGGCATGGAAGAGCAAAACAAGGTCTAGCATATGCATAATCTCTGCTCCTGGTAAAAGAACAGAAATATGTTTCCAAGAAAGCTTTCCTGACATATAAAAGGTGATTAATCTAGACTTAAAGGGTAAGATGGTATGCTAAAAAATGATACATGTTGATCAGGATATATCCTTGTAAAGTAACTAGTCTTTCGAAATAAAAGATGCATTTTACATGGACTCCTAGACCGTTGAAACAAGTCTCCTAGGCTGTGAGAAATGTTCAGGCTGGCTCTAACTATCTGGAAGACAACATTCAGTGGCAGAATTAAGTACAAAAATCATACAGAACCATCAGAGAAGAAGAATCTGACTGACTAATTGTACAAGAGCCAAACTATAATTCAAGAACAAGCCTAACAGACACACTGGGAACACACGCAAGATAATAGGAAATACAGCTCCCACAGGCCTGCTAAAAGAAGACACCAGACATGAGCCTTGAAATAACTCTGCAATGATTAGAACAATGGATAAAGGGGAAGAACTTATTTAAAAATAGACTAATGACTAAGCAACTATAGGAATTTTGGTTGCAGAGAGGGCTATAAATATACTAAATCTTGACAAGGCATAAAGAACAATAGAACAAAGTTAAGAAATAAAAGGCACTAGTAGAGAGATAAGATAGGGCAAATAAACTGATTTCCTTACATCATGTAGTAGATGGGTGATACTTCTTCATAGCGAATAAATCAATGTATAGAGTGGTAGATATAAACTGGGAGCACAGAAATGCCAAGAAGTAAAGTATATGGAGAAAACAGATTCACATTTTTCTTCTTAATTTACAGAAGAGTAAGTAAGGTCTATTTAAATAAGTAATTCAAATCTATTCCAAGCTTTTCTAACTCACTATTCTGTACTCTATGGAGTGCATCTTTTCAACTAGATTGAAAAATCGTCATTAGCATTTCTCCACACTTCTTTGAAGACTACTGGAATAGTTTTGGCATCATATCTGCCAGTTCTTCTTATCACATCAGATAATCCTTCTCTCTATCTAGATACCTGAACTCATCTGAAGCACCCGGGAAGCACAATCTTGATTTCGTAGTGCTCACAGTTCATTCTGACATTCTTATTGGTTTATTTCCTCTCTCTTCCTTCCCATTCATGCACCCATCCAACCAATGTTCGTTGAGATTTCACTGAGTCAGATGCTCTTCAGGGATGCAGGGGAAGCCCTGCCCTCAACATGTTCCTAGTCCAGTAAGGAGGCAGACCAATAACTCTAATACAAATGCATTTCCTAATATCAGGAGCATGTGCCTACATCAAAGCTAAATTCATCTGGGTCACTCCAGAAATGTTTTCTGGGGAAAGCAGCATTTCATTTAGTTTGTGAAGAATGAGTTTTCACTAGGGAGGAGAAGGAAACGTTTCAAGTGGAGGATGTGAAATAAGGAAAACCCCAGAAAGAATGATGACCATGTGGCCTTGAGCATAACGTGACTGTACTGGGAAGCGAAGGGCAGAGACGACCCAAGAGGTTGTTCTCTGGACTGAAGGAGAATCCAAGCTCTGGGTGACACTGCAGTAACAATGATTCTGTCTTGAGTCTAGCAGCATTGCACTTGAATTTCAGCCTAGACCGCAAGACGCTGAACGCTCGGTGAGGCTTGCACTTTCCTTTGCTCCAGGTTGCCAAGAAACAGTCCCGTTGAGAGCTGGATTGCTGACCCCAGTGAGGAGCACACAGCCCTGCCCAGTTGCCGCAGGCCGTGAGCTGCTCACTCCTGGTCCCAATACAGCTCCCTCGGGGACTGCTTCCCAGCCCCTCCTCTGCTGGCTCTCACCTTCGCCTCCAGGGTGTCTGGAGTCTTCTTGCCTTCCCAGGCCCAACTCCTCTTGGTGAAGTAGTTGACAGTGGCGAATTCAATCAGCGCAGAAAACACAAAGGCATAACAAACGGCTATGAACCAGTCCATGGCCGTCGCATACGCCACTTTAGGTAAGGAGTTTCTGGCACTGATACTCAAGGTGGTCATGGTGAGCACCGTGGTGACCCCTGGGAGAGAAAAGATGACAGTGGTTGAAAAGGGAAGGCATTGAGCATATGTTTATTACAATCACCCACTTTCCACGTGGAACAAGAAATTTCATGCCATTCCCCACAGCCCCTCTAAAGCAAAATACAGAGAACATCAAAGTTGAAGGAATCCACCGAGTCACTCCACAGACAATGGTTTCAAAAGAGTTTTCCTGACACACAGAAGGTAATCAGTCTATACACTTAAAGGGCAAGATGGTGTCCTAGGAAGACCTGATACACGTTGGTCAGGCTAGATCCCTGGAAAGCACCTGGGCTTTGCAAGGAGAGCATATATATATTTTTTTCCCAGCATCACACAATTTATTTTTACATCATACAACTCTAGATCCAGCCAACCCTGGAAAGCTCAAATTATGATAGCAGGAAGCTTTTGGGGGACATTTAGGCACAAGCCATAACAGGTAGGAAGACCAGAATTGAAAATAGGTTTCACTGAATATTCCTTACAGATCGAACTTTTAATTCCTAATTATAAAAATTGAAAAAATTTAAAGCAGCGACTAAATTGGAAGCCAAAGGAAATAAGCTCAGTATTATTTACTACATGAGAGAAATTATTTCACATGACTCTAGAAGACAAAAAAAAGAGAGCATATATTTCTGTAGGCTTCGGGACTGTGGGTCCAGGCTGCCTACTCGTGCTGGCTCGGGAACAGAAAGAGAAAGTGGCGGGCACAGGGCTAGGAACCTCTGGTGCTGCATTTCAAACAGTTTTTCTCTGGCCGCTGCTTAACCATGTGTCAAGAAGTATGTAAGCCATTTTAGTGTAAACTGCTTTTAAATCAGAAAAACCTTTTGCAGTTGAAATCTGACTTCTCTAACTATCAGCCCATTAAATGATATCAAAATTTCTTTTGTGACTGCACAGTGAGAAAAATTGTGCTCCTTCCTCTCCAGGACAGGCCTTTAGGTACCCGAGAGGGGTGGCTATAGTTTCTTGTGCCTCTGTTCATCTCCAGAACATGGAAATCAATGCACTCCTTCAGAACTCCTCATCTGTTTTTGCCAGATAGTATTTCGATATGTAACCCAGGCTGGCCTGAACCTGCAGGGAATCTTCCTGCCTCAGCCTCCCAAGAGTGCTGGGACTATAGGTATGTGCCACCTCACCCAAATAGGAACTCCCTTGTTCATTGCTGTCCCCGTCCTAGTAGTTCTCTTTGGAACAGCCGAGAGTTCAGGATAGTCTGAATTCAGCAGGAGCTTGACTTGGTTCATGCTGAATGCTCTTCCAATAATGCTAGCCCACTAAAGTGGAAAGTGCATTTACCAGTTGCCTTACCCTCTAGGACTCAACTGACCTTCCTCAAAAAAAAATATTCCAACAATGTATGTCATGTAAGGGTTGGGAAAGTGGAGCTTGCTTTTAGATCAATTGCTTATGTTTTCCTTTCTTCACTTTTAACTTACCATTAAAAGTCGATTATTAAATATATACCTTTATGAGTAAACATTTGTGATTCATCATTTACATTTATCTTGGGGAATTAGTGTCTATACGCACCGCTCATGCTCCTGTCCTCTCATCTTTCTTCTCTGTTTCCTGCCATCTCACTTTTATTTCATTCATTAAATTACTTTTATTTTTGGTTTCTTTTAAAAACGTCTCATGTTTTAGATATAGATATGAGCCATATGGTGTTGGGGTTAACAGTCTAAGCTTTACAGTCGATCACGTTCAACAGAAATTGGGAAATTCCCACTAACTAGTAATATGACCTCGAACAAGCCATTTTCTCCTGTGAGGCCTCAGTTTCATCATGTGTAAAATGGGGATAGTCTAATAATACCAGACAGTAAAGAGATTTGTTGGGAGAATTGGATGAGATGATATTTATAGTCTATGTCATAATACCTGACGCCAAGTACTCCATAAATAGCATCAATAATTGATGATATTATTTTGTTGTTACTTCTAATAGTACTGCCATAATTAACAGCACACTACGGTATCATAATTTTAGGAACGTTTGCAATACAAAGCTAGTCTTAATGAGTAGCACACTGGAAGCCAGAAGTTCTGAGTGCAGCCGCTGGCTTGTTCTGCACTAAGCAATATCAGCAACTGCTCTGAGTCCCCATTCTCCCTACCACTAGCCCATTTATCAGCATCACATGCTGTCCCTCTCTCCTGGGATTCCCATAGTCCCCTCCCAGGTATGGGAAGGAGAAGGCACATTCAGATCCTTTTTCTGAGTACTGAAATGCTGAAAAAGGGGGGCAATGTGAACCTCTTGAGCCAGGGTCAAATGGCACAGGATAGCCTAAAGCACCGAGGGACCCTGGGTACAAAGCAAGTGGGAAAAACACTGCTCGGATACCGCTGCCCAGTCACCCCTGTGTCTTGCAGCTTTCAGGCTTCTTCCCTGTCTCACTGCATTGCACTGAGCACCTTCCTTTTACATGGGCTACATACATGAATGTCCACACTGGAACGAACTCGGTGCAGTGCAGAGACCCTGAGGAGTACCTATGCATACTCTAAGCAGGAAGCCATCAAAGCTGATTAGCAAGTTCACTTTGAAGCCACGTAGGGAAGCAGTCACCTATGGAGCAGCTGTCAGTACATGATCTGAATTTGCGCCTTGCTAAGATCTGAGAATGGACCCCAGGGTCACCAACCCTCCGATCATGCCAGGGACTGCACTTGTGAGAGAAACATGCTTCTTCCTCACGGCAAGGAGCACATACAGCACTCGGGCTTAGCTGGAGAGAACTGCACTGCGACGCCAGCGAGCGCGCCAGTGCCCCATCTCAGGAGCGCTTTAGAGCTCTGGCCTCTAGGGTTTAATTAGGCCTGTCATCTTCTGGAGAGCTCTTAGTGCCCAGAACTGGTGAGCCTCTCAATCAAGCATTCGGTATGCTCATGGGGAGACAAAGAAATGCTCCACATTGTAAAGAGACTGCCTGTCATCCAATGCTTCTCTTTCAGGACTCTTCTTTGAAGACTTTCTTGACATGGTCAGGTAGCACTGGTGAGCCATGCTTGCGCTGTACGCTGCTAGCACACTTGCCTGATGACAGGTGTCTGTCCTACAACACTGCAGGCATAAGAAGGGCACTCAGGCTAGTTTGTGAGACCTCAGCGCACACCATGGCACCGCACCCCATTCCCTCCCTGCAGGCTCCTCGGGGCACTTTGCTTACAGAAACTGTACTGTAGTTATCAACAGTATCATTCTTTTTGCCTCCTTTTGTCCCATTAGCAACCACCTGTTCTCTGTCGTACACACAATTAGTTCGCAGGGCTACAAAATTTAAAACATTTCAGACAGCAGCACTGAAAGCGAGCGCCCATTCTCTCCCCGAAGGTAATGAGAATGAATCACGCCTCACCCCCGCATGGGCAAAGCTATTTAGTCCTTGTCAGTCAGGCTTCATCTTTATAGGAATTAGTCAAACTTTCGCTAAAACAGAAGTGCGCTTTTCTATGGCCCCAGTCGTGCGCGAGTTCCATTGCTGCTCAAGCTTTGAGAAATTCATCTGATTAGTTGTGACCGCTGTAGCATTCAGAGTGATGTCTCCATGAGCCTGTAGCTGAAATTTCCCTGACGAAACGTATCTTAAAAGATCTTTCATGTGCTTATGGCGATTTGGATATACTCCGGGGGATCTTTCTGCTCATGTCTTTGGTCCATTTAAAAAATTGGCTTCTTAGGGGCCAACGAGATAGCTCAGGGGACCAAGCGCAAGGACCGGTGCTCTATCTGTGACACCACATGCCACACAGGTCCCACTTCCCCTGGGCTCTGAGCCAGCCACCGAGACCAGGCGTGGTGGTGCATGCCTGTAATCCCAGTACTGGGGAGGCTGAAAACAGGAGGATCAATGTGAGTCTGAGCTGCAGAGTGAGACCCTATAACAAACAAACAAACAAATATATATA